ATATACATATACATATACATATACATATACATATACATATACATATACATATACATATACATATACATATACATATATATATACATACACATATACATATACATATACATATACATATACATACACATATACATATACATATAAACATATACATATACAAACACGCGCGCACACACACACGCGCGCGCACACCACACACACACACACACACACACACACACACACACACACACACACACACACACACACACACACACACACACACACGCACACCCACACATATATATTATTATCTTGATATTATATTTATTGAATGTTTTTTAACCTGAATTTTACCTGCGAGCGTGCTGTTCATTTCGCGACACCGATGCTGTTATATACATGCCTCATCACTCAATCCGTGTATGTTGGGCCCCGTGCAGGACTTTGCAGGTAGTGCAGTGGTACACATACTCGGAGGCACGTGTGCATTCGTCGGCGCTTGTTTCCTCGGACCGCGCGTGGGCAAGATTGACATTGACGGTCATGTGCAACAGATCAAAGGTCACTCCGTTCCAGTAAGTGTCCGCTCGCCCTCCCCCCTCGCCCCCTCCCTCCGTCCTCGTGGACGTGTCTCACATCCCAAGAACTCGGGGATGTTCAATGTTGATGTTATGGCGTTACACCTGTCGGTTTTTTTTCCGCTGTGGCAAACCTGTTATAGTTATAGCCTTAGGGTATTGTAAGCGAGTGACACTATATATACTACTATACCTGACAAATGCTTCTTTGGCATCGATGGGTGGGCGAATAATCATTTTCGGCGAAGGTATGTTTGACAACGAAATAACCAACTTTTAATTGCATATGATTATAAATATACACAAAAGGCAAATAATGTGCAAATCAGACAAAATGCAATTATCAATAAAATATAGGTATCATAAAATAATCAAGGGCAGGGAAATAACGCATAAGGACAAATAGACGTTTCGCGAAATAAAACTATCGCCTATTTTAGCCGTGTTATGTGACGGCATAGGCATTTTCCATAATTGTTCCAAGATGGTCGTAAATAAATCCAATAGGTCAACTAACCAAAGGGGCGATAACCACAGGCACTTGGGACAGAGTCAGTAAAAACTGAAAATAATATGAACGCACATTCACAAATACTACCTCTCAATCACATTTCCACTGTTGTGTCACTGTATATAAACTTTATTTCACAAAAACTAATGCAGAACGCTCCCGCACTCGCCGCTGCGAGTGTGCTGTGTCGCCAAACTTGCGAGTCACGTCAAACTTGTTGTGTTGTTGTGTCAACTCTTAAGATTAATTCACGTGCCCGCGGCTCACGTGTTCTTTGGTACAAAAGAAAACCTTGGATGGAACCTCGATCTGTGGAAAGACCACAGAGTGCGGTAAGTTGTTAAGTGTCGTCTTGTTGTTTTGCAGCTTGCTGCGTTGGGCGGGTTCATTCTGCTACTTGGTTTTCTGGCGTTCAACGGCGGGTCGCAGGCTAGTATTTCGCAGCAAGGCGACGGTGAGGCAGTAGCAATATCAATGGTAAATATAGTGAGCAAATATCAAAATCAGACCGTATCTCATCACCCACGCCACTAGTATATTATGCACGTTTAATTTGATGATCAAAAAATACAAGTTTAAAAATGTAATGTGTGTGTATGTGTGTGTGTGTGTGAGCGTGCGTGCGTGCGTGCTCGTGCGTGCGTGCGTGCGTGTGCGTGCGTGTGTGTATTTATTTACTTATCTATTTACTTATTTATGTACTTGTTCTTTTTTTCAGCAAGTTACTCTGCATGCAAAATGCGCTTCTGGTGGTCTCAACTGGTCATCAAATGTACATATGTTAAATCGTATCCCTTAATTACAGATGAACACGGTAATCAGCGGAAGCTTCGGAGCGTTTACGGGTCTCGTCATTAATAAGATTGGATTTCTCGGTAATCGTCAGTGGAGCCTGTTGATCACACTGAACGCCGCTCTGACTGGCATGGTAGGCACTACTACTTATACTTATAGACACGCCTCCTATTTGACTCTCAAACATCCCATATTGTATTGCCTTAGGGGCTTAGGCCTTAACGCGCTCGCAGCCCGTAGCAATACGAAAATAGCATTCGTTGTATTGTTGATTTATAGTCGGCCGTATGGTAGACTGTTGCGACTGTAGGTATTAGAGAGTATTAGAAATAGAACTTGATGTGTGTCGCAGAGATGATAGGTCAGAAAGCGCAGCAACGCAACACGATCAACAAGCACCACGCGCAGATAACGCGCTAGAAACGCACGTAACATCACGCTCACAACATCATCAACAACAACAACAACATCAATGCCGCGTCATCGTCATCATCAGCAGCAGCAGCAGCAGCAACACCAACAACAACGAGAACAATAGAAACAGCAACAACAGCAACAACAACAACAACAACAACAACAACAACAACAACAACAACATCAACATCAACAGTGGCAGCAGTGGCAGCAGTTCAACTAATTACTTTCCTCGCGGTTCCTTCCGATGTTGTTCACTACAGCATAATCAGCATTCTTGCTTTACAGGTGAGCGTATGTGCCGGATGCAACGTTTACTACCCGTGGGCTGCGGCTGTTGTCGGGGCTATAGGTGGCGCGGCGTTCGTTTGCTGGAGTAACCTGATCAGTAAGGTATTCTTAGTCGACGACCCTCTGGATGCTACGGCAGGTTAGTATATCGTTGACATAGATGCATCGAAGCCATGCTCTTGTATAGTATGCGGCATAGAATATATCAAGACCCCATAGTACAGTCTATTATTATTATTACTATTATTATTATCACTATTATTATCACTATATTAAGAATTGAATTTCAGGAGCTGAAAAATAGTATTTCAGCCGTTTTCGGCCGAGTGGCAATATTAAAGCTAGGTAGCCATGTACTTCAGCTGTGCACCATTAGAGTTATAACATATGTTGTCCGGCGTTTTAAAAAAATATCGCGAATTTACTAATCGACACCACATTTGTGCCTGAAAAACAGTCGCGCAGTCGAATGGGGGCCATACATTAAAAGAATTCGTTTTAAATTACCAGTAACCATCCACCCATCTCCATGTGCATGTCATTGACACACACGATAGCCAGCCTAAATAATGCAGCCTCAAAACATCGCGTCAGCTTTAGTGCACGAGCTGCGGGCACTCCGATTGGTCGGCCGATGACGCGTCACATCCTCTAACCTAACAGGGTTATGAACCGGTAGTGATTTAATAGTGGTCACGTGTCATATGTTATTATGGATTCTTAATTTTTATATATAATATATTTGATATGAACTCGTGTTCTTTAACGCGGCTTCTGCGCACGAATATCGAGTTTGATTCGTTTGTATATTTATATTACTGACGTAGGATCATGGAGTTTATAAGGTTGGACCGGGATAACATATTGTTTTTTCGATCATGAGCTGTATAATAATAATGATAGCTGTAGTTACTTCAGCGTTTTGCCACAGAAAATACCAAAAGCTGTTGTTTAATGACGTACCCGTATCGCATGGACGCAGGCTAAAGTAGCATGAACGCTGCACATACTTATTAATCCAATGTCTTATCATCAGTACATACTTTAAGTAATTAAATAATAGGTAAATAATTAATAATTAATATCTTATATGCATTTTAGCTAGTAATCTTACGGTGATTGTCTCGCAGTTCACCTGGGTGGCGGAATGTGGGGCATATTAGCAGCTCCGATACTCTCTAGAGACACTGGCATCGTATTCCAATGGAGCACACATTCCTTCTACGTAAGTCACACTGCGCGATGGCGTCGTATACTTAAGTCCGCACTAGCGCGTATTTAGCCCGGGATAGCGTGTACGCGCTGCAAAAATTTAGCGCGCGCTTGGCCCGGACTAAGTTGATGAAGGATCAAATTTGCAGTCTGTATATGCGGGAGTTTTAATCGACTAACGTCGATTTTACGACAAACGTCAAAATTAACGACGGGGAACGACGACTAACGTCAGCTGTTTGGTTTATACGTAGCAACTGGCATGGAACATCGTAGGTCTGCTCGCTATCGCCGGCTGGACCGCCGTTTGGTCGATATTCATGTTTGGTGGCCTGAAATGTATGGGAATTCTACGAGTTTCACGGGAGATCGAATCGAAAGGTAAATATATACCGCTCCCATGGCAACGCGGTAAACACGCGCTTCGCAAAATAGAGCACCAGCACTTAACTAATTTAGTTACGTTAGGCGACTGTTCCTTAACGTCGTAACCTCATAATGTTTGGTATTTAAAGTCCACGGGATAACATCGAAGACAGAGTGAGATGAAGTTGATTAAATCGATAGAACAACACAGCGAATTGCAGTAGAAAAATCTTCAATTTTACAATCCACCAAAGAAGGAAGAGAATTCCAATACGGAATAAATGACAGAAACGAGAGAGCTATAAAATTCCTTCCCTGTACTACTTTCACGTGTGTGTGCGCGCGGTCATGCGTGCGTGCGTGTGTGCGTATGTGCGCGCGTGTGTGCGTGCATAATTGCGTCTGTGCGCACTTATGTATTCGCATATGTCCGTGTGCGCGAACGTGCGTGTGACCGCGGGTGCGTGAGCGGCATTTGCTCTCGTTCTATAGCTATTAATTCTGCTATTATTGCTACAGAGATATATATGACAATATATATATATATATATATATATATATATATATATATATATATATATATATATGAGATATATATTGACAATATGACAATAAAAATCGTCATCTATTTCACAGGATTGGATATTCCGAAGCACGGCGAAGCAGCCTACCCCGTGGAGGCGTACGGACACGGCTGGGGAGAACGAGGAGATGCTCTCAAAGCTCTTGCCGCAAAGTGTTTAAAAAATATGAATATGAATTCCTTCAGTTTAGGTACGAAAATGAAAAAGAAAATGTGCGGGCGTGCGTGCGTGCGTGCGTGAGTGCATGCGTGTATACGTGGGGATGTGTGGTTGTATGCGTATGTTTAGGGGGTAATTACTAGCTGGGTGCTATGGCGCAGCAATGCCATTTACTATAAAGCATAGTCGTTGCTGATATGCCAAGCTTGCAGCATCGCAATATCAGTTATGCACATATAGCGCGGACACTATGAGGAATGGCAACTGTAATATCACACATCCCATTGCAGCCACATTACACCATCTATAAAACCTAATCTATTCGGACCGAATTTCAGTTACTGGACCTAAGGCTTACATCGATCTACAATCCAACTGCGAAAACCCAGAGGTGCAGAAGAGAAGAAAGAGCTTGGATGATCTAGACGACATCTACGTTCCTGGCGGGTACTCAGCGGAGAACGGAGGTTCGGTTAACCTCGGCTACATATCGAATAGCAGCGACCCCTACCGACGCAACAACACGCGCATCATTGATGTCGATGTCGACGATGGCGATACTCGTTTCTAGGAGGTGCCAGCAGCTTCGCGACAGATTCCACGCTGCGGACGAAAAAGGAAAAGCTGACGTGCATCGGCTAATGTTCGATTAAATGATTGATTGAGATTGGGGACGGCCTGCGTAATACTTAGACCATCTCCGTCTTAGAACCGCTGGTGAGGATGGTGGCTTGACATTGAATCACGTCATACAATATTATGCGTTTTATTGATGGAGGTTATAAGATATAGATGGAAATATCAATATATTAGTAAGGTGACGCTACTCGTCCACCACTATATCGTGTGTCGGCAGTATAGGATAAAGTGTGTTCAACCCCGAAGCAATATATTGCGTTATACAGTAGAGATTTGAATGTAGTATAAGTGTGTACTCATGTGCAGAAATATCTAACGTTTACAACGTTAGACTAATATACATAATATATATAATATATATATATATATATATATATATATATATATATATATATATATATATATATATATATATAAACTAATATATAGCGTTTATAATCAGTCTCCCCGTAGCAGAAGTGTATGATGAATCATGTGTTTCTATCGGTTCTTTCTAGAAGTAGGTAATATAAGAAACGATAACTAAACCACCGCTTATAATCCACGAAATGCACTGGAATTGCGAACATCTCAAAGACGTCGAGTTTAGTTTAAAATTGTCGGTGTTTCTAATTGTTGTTTCGTATATATATTTTTAGTAGTGCCTATGATCAGGTGCCAAGTATTGTCTCGTGTGTCATATTCATATATACATATACATATATTCCTAGTTACTTTGTAGTAATTCCTAGTAACGATTGTATTTCTATTGCGCTTTTACGAAATTCGAGTTGAGCTTGCTCCTTGAAATTAACAAAATAAACTGTGAAAAATAAATTATACGCCTAGTGCATTTTATTTGTTACACTTTATTCCGCTTAAAGCATTTATGCAGACATATACGCATAGGTCAGAATTTTGCGGCTATACACGTTCTACAATCGTGGTGAACAGAACAGTATACTCGATTATTATTTCGTATTTCGATATGATATAAATGGATGACGCACGGTCTAGCCTGGTCTTAGGAGTGATCTAACCAAACATATTCAGACATTAGACAAACCTACTACGCGGGTTCACACAGGAAAGTGTGCTCCCCCATTTAAAAAAACAGCAAGAATATTGTAGAGATGGATAAATTCCAGTTACTAATATTCTAAATATGAGGATTTTTTTTTTTTTTAAACGTGTTGTATGAAAATTGATTTCCCGGAAAGGTTTCGGTGCGGCGGGGTGTAAATGTATTTTTACGAAAAGATAATTCTAGTACAGATTACCAGTGTAATACTACATTAACATGCCTCAAAATATCGAAACTAGGCACAAACTGCCGCCGGTGTTCAGACATTTCTTTACCATTTAGGGCCTATAATAACAAAATACGCCGTCGCCGTGAGGGCATCGCGAGAGAAACGAGTTTGCGAGAGTAGTACACAACTCTTTTTCTCGAAGAAATTCTCGCAAGATGGCAGCCGCAATGTGGCGAATCTTTCGGCGCTGCTTGCGACCACAGAAATAAAATAGTATTCTATTCTATTTCTGTCTTCTATTCTTTTCTATTCTATTCTATGGTTTCTTTCTATTCAATGGTTTCTATGGTTTCTATGGTTTCTATGGTTTCTATGGTTTCTATGGTTCTATTCTTTCTATGGTTTCTTTCTATTCTATGGTTTCTTTTCTATTCAATTCTATGTTTTCTATTCTATTCTTTTCTATTCTTTTCTATTCTATTCTAGTCTTCTATTCTATTTCTGTGCTTGCGACCCTGACATCTATGGTGGTGAACAACAGTAGAGGGCGTCCATAGGCAGCAGGCCTGAATAAGCATCGAACAGAAATTAATTAAAAATACTCACACTGTTACTTAGCTTACACAACATATACTTTATTCATGTTAAATAACTACAGATTCATGCTCTATGCTCCGCTCGAAACTTTTGCCAGCTCTATGATGCGAATTTCTGCAAAGGTGGCTGAACACATTTGCGACGTGGATTCAGAGGATGGCATTGTAATTTCTCAAAAAAAAAGAAGCTGATTTATGGGAATTTTTTCGTAAGTATGGCCGCATATAGGAAATGATTTCCCAGTGTGATACCTACACGCGTGATCGGATTGCTGCATGAAGCAGGGTGGTGCTGCTGCAGAGAAGGATGTGGAGGCGGCAGGAAGAAGAGGAGGCGTAAATGATGGCTAAGGGAGGAGATAGAGGAAGAGGTAGAGGAGGAGGTAGAAGAGGAGGTAGAAAAGAAGGTAGAGGAGGAGGTAGAAGAAGAGGCGTAAATGCTGGTTGATGGAGGAGGTAGAGGAGGAGGTAGAAGAGGAGGCGTAAATGCAAGTTCATTGAGGCGGTAGATGAGGAGGCGTAAATGCTGGGTGAGGGAGGAGGTAGATCAAGAGGTAGAAGTGGAGGCGTAAATGCTGGTTTAGGAGGAAGTAGAAGTGGAGGCGTAAATGCTGTTTCAGGGAGGAGGTAGAGGAGGAGGCGTAAATGCCGGTTCAGGGAGGAGGTAGGGGAGAAAGGAGAAGGTGGCGGAAGAGAGTAAACGTAGAAGTAGAAGAAGAAGGGTCAAAGTGATGAAGGAGAAAGGGGTAGGTAAAGGAGGAGAGGAGAAGGTGGTACATAAAGGAGGAGGCGGAGGGAGAGGGAGGAAGTAGAGGTAAACACGAGAAGGTCGTAGGAGGGGCCGTTAGAGGAGGAGGGAGAAGGTGCCTGAGCACAGACGAAGGTCTAATTAAGTCTACTGCTCGTGACCAGTTTTACAGTGACCTATTTTCCGTGTCACCAATCATCTTGCGGCCGATTTTTCGTGTGATGTGCTTTCCTTTGGCATGTTCGTCGTGTCGCTACTTTCCCTGTAGGAAATTTGGTCGGATTCAGGTTTGATACATTCCCTCCCCCTCCCCACCAGTAGCCGACACCAGGTCACAGACCGGCAGCGAGCCAGCCAACTCGCTGGAGCGTGTTCGCCGAGTTACCGAGAGCTAGCTTTCTTTCCTATTCATGTTTCCCCCACGCGCGTCGCGGCAAGCGCTGCGCTCCACTCGATCCCAAGCACTCCGCCGATCGCCGTTCACTCGAAGAGCAGACACGCGAAGACGACGATGGCGGAGACAACGACGTCACCGCTGTGGATGGAGCTTCCCGATGCGACGGTGTTTGTGAACGATACGCATGTTTACATCAGCGCCTATCAGCTCCGGCGGCTGGAGGATCAGCTCCAGCGGCTGGAGGATCTCGCCGACCATGTGAGCCATCTCGATAAAAATATGGATCAGTTCTTCCTGCTGGTCAACGCTGCCTTCATATTCTGTAAGTTATTGTCTCTGTAAATTTCTTCTTCTAGTGAACGCAATGCGCAATGCAATGTCATGCATCAATGCGAATCAAAGCGCATTGAAAGTTCGGTGTGTCAACGGTATTACAAATTGGAAATTACTGTTGTTTGTATAACATGGACTTGTCTGAGGGCGACGACTTAATTGCTCATAATGACGACTTATAAATGACGACTTAGGCGGGGCTATTCCAATGGATTTACTATGAGAGAAAATCGGGACTTTGACTTCCATGACGACTTATGCGAGTTTTACTGTATTACATAGTATTAGTAGAGTAGAGAAACATCAACACTTTGATAGTAAATACATTGCGTGTTTATTTAGCATTATTGTTCTTTATTGCGATGCTCCAAGTGGCTGTTGTAGTGCACTGTAGGGAGGAAAATTACTTACTTTGCATAACCGAGAAGAAGATTATGCTTTCCAGCCCAATCTGTTAACTTTTGCTTTCCTCCTTCCTTCATTTGCGGGAAACCGGTACATTACCATTGTTTCCGATCGGTTGGTACGTCCATAAGCACAACAGCCCGTCATATTTCTGTTGAACGCGTGTAATCGTGAGCTCGTGTGATCGAGGCAAAAGGTTGAAAGCGTGTTTCGTCGCTCACTGACGTCACAGTTTCGACTGTACAAAATTTAATTAATTTAAAAAAAATAGGGTTAGGGTTATTTTTTAGAGTTAGAGTTAGGGTTAGGGTAAGGGTTAGAGTCACAATGCACCTTAAAACAGGGGGTTTGAGTCCGTACGGACGTGACGTCACTGAGCGACGAAACAAGCCTTCAACCTTTTGCGGGATCGAGCGGGATACAAGATGGCGTACGTGAACCACGTGACCAAGAAAAAGTGGCGCCCCCATTGTCGCAACTCTCTTTCTATATACGGCTCTGGCACAAACGCGTGACGGCTCGTTCCCAGGTAGCGTGTGTCACGACAGGGCGTGCGAGTCCCATTTATCTTTCTCTCTCCCGCCTGTCCCGGCGGCAGGCAGGTGTAATGTCTGTGGGATGATTAGGCTAGATTGGGACGGATACACTTGGACACAAAAACACTACGTCTAAGCAGCAGGTTTAGCCATATTGAAAGAGGGTTTATTACAATAGGTGGCGCTGTATCAAAACAACATAACATCGGTACGATCTATCTACTATCTAAAATCTACTATCTACTATTTACTATCTACTATCTACTATCTAAAATGTGTGTTTTTTATAGAAAATACATCAGAAAACTTACTTATCTACTGATGATGAACAAAAACAAATATTTACAAATTGGCGTTTGTTCTCTTGTTTTGAAGGTTTGTTGCGTCAAAGCAAATCAAAGCAGCCAATCAGAGGAACCCGTGTAGGACGTTTACGCATTTGCGGTACGGAAAAAAATAGACGCGTACAGGCTAATACATTATGCCGGTGTACAGTGTAGACCTCAATATCTTACAATTCTCCCCCAAAGAAACGGAAAGTGCAAAAAAACGGTTAGCAATGTTACCTATATGATATTAAGTTTTGAATATAAATTATTTGATCTTTCTATATGTACCGATTCCGAATTCTCGTGGCTTCCCGGCGTTCACTCATTGTGCCACTTGCCTTTCGGACACTTTTCCCTTCAAATCAGGTTTAATCAAGTCAAACCGCGCTTACTCAGGTTTCGCTTCAGAAATAACTGTGTAGGACTAACACCTGTCGTTGCATGAGGTGCGTTTCTGTAGTACATCATAAAATTGTCCAATTTCAGTTGCTTGTCATCCTTATCAAACTTGGCAGTTTTCAACGCGTTCTTGAACGATTGCACGAATCGCTCAGCGAGGCCATTAGTGGCGGGATGATAGAGTGCAGAATTAACCTGCGTTATGCCATTATTTCGCAGAAACGTCGCAAATTCCGAAGACTTAAATTGCGGTTCATTGTCAGATACTAGCGTTTTACAAATTCCGTACCGTACAAATCCGTACCGTACCGTACCGTGCAAATACGCTTCTGAGTAAAGTAATCGTTTTAGCAGACAAAGTGTCTTTCGTCGCCAACACCTCTGGCCACTTAGAGTGTGCGTCAATAATCACTAGGTACATAATACCATCAATTGGTCCTGCGTAATCAATGTGAATGCGATCGAAAACTCCTTCCGGCTATTCCCATGGGTGTAACTGTAACCACAGACTAACGGATACACAGACTGGACACATCGTATACCCTGCTTGTTAAGCGTTTCGATGGTGCTGCCCCTGGCAAATGAAGCGGCCAACTACTCAATGTATCACTGATGACATCAGCTGGCAATCACTGCGGTTATTGCAGTGCGGGAAATTGTTCCAATTCAAGAAAGAAAAACCCAGATATAGCGTTTTTTATGTTTCCCACAGAGCATTTTAGGTACTTGATTTAAACTGAGGTCTGTAAATCACCCGTGGGTGGTTTTATATTATGACAACTTCTCAATGACATTGATCAGCTTGGACTTGTCGGTACATGGCAGCATGGAATCACTCGGTGCAAAAAATGCTATTGGGGTCATAGTAAAATCAAAATTGCCAATTGCATGTTTTTGGTCAATATTTCGGCTAGACCTGGCCAGAACCATCAATCGCCCATAGAGATCTCTGGTTTTCTTAAGGTCAACAGTCTTATCCCGAACCTTGACAGCACTCTTCTGGTCACCAGACATGTACATGAGATTTTTCTCTTTCTCGACTGGAGCACAAATGCTGACATCCCCATTGATCCGCTCTGTTACATAATCTTTGTACAACTTCTGCTCAATGTTGTCTATGTTTAAGATATATGAAATATACTGCTCAGGAATATAGGCATGGGTTATGAGGTTGTAGATGGTATGGTCATCCTCAACGACAAAAGGGACTCAATGACTCAAAAGGCATTCTTGATTTTGTAGATTGTAGTGTGCTCTCGCTTGACAACATTTGGAGCAAAGTCATTATGCTCTCTAACCGTGCCTGATTTTAGAACGAACTGTGTCTTGTAGTTACTAGCTAGACATGAGAGTTCTGGAGCTGTCCGGAAAAACCGTTGCCTTGCAATTAGCATCATTTGAGATACCAATCGGGCCATTGTGAACCTTCATTAGTAAGTTCAGCTGCTCACAACCATTGTCTGGATCTATGGACACGAGTGGGATGTCACTTTTGGTCACGGATATGCTGCCTGACTCAAGTTCTCTCCATGTTTCTGGGTGGTTGGTCTGAAGAGCATACATATCTGATATGTATCTTGGCCAGAGTTGCATCCTTTCTCTCACGTCTTCCTTATCCACCGCACGAAGTGTAGCGGAGAGTATTGTTTTGGGCTCGTTTATATATATATATATATATATATATATATATATAATATAATATATTATATATATATAAGTGTGTGGTGTGTGTGTGTGTGTGTGTGTGTGTGTGTGTTGTGTGTGTGTGTGTGTTGTGTGTCCGCTACGATATCTTTATAACGCATAAGAGGTAGACACTTCAACTTTGTCCAAGTGGGCATCTTTTGAGGCGGTAGAATCCTATTGATTCTGAGTTCCTGACCTAAGGTAAGGTCACAGGGTCATTAAGTATATTCCAAAGCTGGGTCATAGCGGAAGGACCGTACCATTGCTAACGCGGGGCGGGGGTTCCAGGCGATATTTCCAGGTGTGTTGTTTGTGGCAGAGTGTGTTCTGATATCGAGTTATTTCACTGCGCTCTAGAGTAGCGTTCTGATATCACACGTGTAGTGATCGCGTGTGCGGAGGATTCGCACTCCCCGAGTACCTTCTTTCTAGTTGTGCTTGTAGCCATGTGCAGTGACTAAACGAAGGTGAGGCGCTCAGGGGGGAATCTCTAGCATCCTTTCTCTCACGTCTTCCTTATGCTTTTAGTCATGCAGTGCGGATTCGCCTTCGTAGAGTGCGGTGCCGTGAGGAGCAAGAACACCACGAACATTCTTATCCAGAACATGCTGGATATATGTAAGACGTTTCCCGCCTACGCGACTAATATTAACCGTCATCTTATCTTATCGTTATTTATATAACAGCGGGGTTCCTTTTTATTATTTTATTTTAGAAATAATGAGTAAAATGACGATTTAATTTAACGTTCATAACATTAATGTCTGCGGCATTTGTTTTCTGGCATTGACTGTGGGACGGGGGATCCATGGCCCTGACATTTATTCATTTATTGAGTTATTAAGTTATTAAGTTATTAAGTAATGAATTTATAAATTTATGAATTTATGAATTTATAAATTTATGAATTTATATATATATATATATAAATTATATATATATAACTCGCCTGTCGTGCGTTACGGTATCTTGCAGCTGTAGCCGGCGTCGCTTACTGGGCCATCGGCTTTCCCCTGGCGCACGGCGACGGCAACGCGTTCGTCGGCGTGAAGTACTGGTTCAGTTACGATATGCCGAGGCATTTGTTCGCCGATTGGTTCTTCCACTTCGTATTTGCGGCCACCGCCGCGAGCATTGTGTCGGGAGCGGTCGCCGAGCGATGTGAATTCGTGGCGTACCTTGTCTACAGCTTTCTCGTCACCGGTGAGTGAGCAGGTATGCGACTGGCTGTTATAACTGCTACCTAGAGTCACAGACACCTATTATACAACAGCAACCGCTACAACGTTAATTGGGGCGAGATTAGCATTTTATTGCTGCGCTTTTCGTTGACTGGTTGTAGCGTGAATGAAGCTCGTTCCCTTTCTCTACTCACCCCAAGACAGTCTTTCCCATCTCTCAATTTCTTTCTTATAACGTAATATTTTTACAGATTGCGTCGATAAACCCCTATATAATATCCGTGATTTACGTCATTGTACTTTCTAAAGGTCTCGTAAACCCAATAGTGACACATTGGGCGTGGTCAGAACATGGTTGGCTCTATCAAGGAATTAGCGATTCCAACGGAGTTAATGTCTCATTCCAGGTATGTTAAGATAAGTCGCAATAATTTCCTTATACGTTTATGATAAAATCATTGGTATGACTGTATACATATACATATACATATACATTATATACATATACATATACATATACATATACATTACATTACATATACATATACATATACATATACATATACATATACATATACATATACATATACATATACATATACTATATCATATACATATACATATACATATACATATACCATATACATATACATATACATATACATATACATATACAATATAACAATCATCTACATATACATTAACATATACATATACATATACATATACATATACATTACATATACATATACATAATACATATACATAACATATACATATACATATACATATACATATACATATCAATATACATAACATATAACATATACATATACATATACATATACATAATACATATACATATACTATACATATACATGTCACAGCGCGCGCCACACGCGAGCACACACACATGTGCATACACGCACCGCGCACACACGCACACACACCTACTGCACACACACGCGCGCGCAACACACGCGCGCGCGCACAACACGCGCGCAGCGCACGGACCACACACCACACAACGCACACACACACACACACACACACATACACACACACACACCACATACACACACCACACAACACCACACACACACCACACACACACACACACACACAACCACACACACACCCACACACACACCCCACACAACAAACCCAGCGCGCGCACAATTCGTGATACGCATATTATATTTATTGAATATTTTTTTAACCTGAATTTTACCTGCGAGCGTGCTGTTCATTTCGCGACCACCGATGTTGTTATATACCTGCCTCATCACTCGATACGATAAGTCGCAATAATTTTCCTATACTTCTAGGATAAATTGATGGTATGACTATATACATCCACACACACGCGCGCGCACACGCGAGCACACACACACACATACACACACACACACACACACACACACACACACACACACACCAACACAGAACACACACACACATACACACACACACACACACACACACACACACCACACACACACACACACACACACCACACATACACACACACACACACACACACACCACACACACACACACACACACACACACACACACACACAACAACACACACAACACATACACACACACACACGCACACACACACACACACACACACACACACACACACACACACACACACACACACACACACACATACATACATACACATACATGCGCGCGCGCACGCACGATTCATGATACGCGTATTATATTTATTTCGGAATTTTACCTGCGAGCGTGTATGTCATTTCGCGACACGATGCTGTATATACACATCCCTCAGCACTCAATCCGTGTATGTTGTGCCCCGTGCAGGATTTGCAGGTAGTGCAGTGATACACATACTCGGAGGCACGTGGCATTCGTCGGCGCTTGTTCTCTCGGACCGCGCGTGGCAGATTGACATTGACGGTCATGTACAACATATCAAAGGTCCTCCGTGCCAGATAGTTCCGCTCGCCCCTCTTCCCCTCCCTCCCGTCCTCGTGGACGTGTCTCACATCCAAGAACTCGGGATGTTCAATGTTGATGTTATCGCGTTACACCTGTCGGTTTTTTCGCTGTGGCAAACCTCGGGAGCTCCGCTTTAGGCAGTGCCTAAATCTATATATTAGCATTAGGGTATTGTAAGCGAGTGAAATGACACTACTACTATACGTGACAAATGCTATTTGGCATCGATGGGTGGGCGAAGTATCATTTTCGGTAAAGGTATGTTGACAACGAAATGAACTTTTAATTGCAATAATTATAAATATACACAATATGCAAATAATGTGTAAATTGGAAAAAATGCAATTATATGGTATTTTGTTATTAAAATATAGGTATATCATAGCATAATTAAGGGCAGGAAAATAACGCATAAGGATAAATAGACGTTTCGCGAAATGAAACTGTCGCCTATTTTAGCCGTGCTATGTGCCGCATAGACATTTTCCATAATTGTTCCAAAGTGCTCGTGAATAAATCCAACAGGTCGACTAACCAAAGGGGCGATAACACTCTAGCGCACTGTATTAAATTGGTGGAGTTATGTCAACTCTTGCGATTAATGGGGTTAGCCACGTGCCCACGACTCGCATGTTCTTTGATGCAAAAGAAAACGTTGGATGGGACCTCGATTTGTGGGAAGAGCACAGAGTGCGTCAAGGCTGGAATGCCAACTATTTCTGCTAATTCTGAGCCTTTGGATTACTTTTAGATTATTAATTATTTATTTATTTATTCTTAATATTATTATTATTATTATTATTATTATCATTATCATTATCATTATCTTTATCATCAATTATCATTATCATTATCATTATCATTATCATTATCTTATCATTATCTCTATCATTATTTATCATTATCATTATCATTATCTTTATCATTATTATTATCATTATCATTATCATTATCATTATCATCCTCATTACTATTATTATTCGTAATTATTTGTTAGAAATGATCATTAGTAAACCTCATACTGCATCATGTCGTCTTGTTGTTTTGCAGCTTGTTGCGTTGGGCGGGTTCATTCTGCTACTTGGTTTTCTGTGGGTCATCGGCGGTGCGCAGGCTAGTATTTCGCAACCAGGCGACGGGGAGGCAGTGGCAACAGCAATGGTAAATATAGTTAGCAAATATCAAAATCAGACCGTATCTCATCACCCACGCCACTAGTAGGCTTATGCACGTTTAATGATCAAAGAATACAAGTCCTAAATTATTACGTAATATATATATATATAATATATATGTGTGTGGTGTGTGTGTGTGTGTGGTGTGTGTGTGTGCGTGCGTGCGTGCGTGCGTGCGTGCGTGCGTGCGTGCGTGCGTGCGTGAGTGCGTGTGCGTGTGCGTGTGTGCGTGCCTGCATGCGCGCGTGTGTGTGTATTTATTTAATTATTTATTTACTTATTTATGTATTTATTTTTTTACTTACTTACTTACTTATATAGTAGTGTATAATATAATATGTTAGCGTATTATACGTGTGTACCCACTGGGACCCACAGCAAGTTACTCTGCAAGCAAAATGCGCTGTTGGCCGTCTTAACTGGGTGTTGCTATCCCCCGCCTAACGCTTGAACTATCCGCCGCGGGTGTTACGCTTGACTGCGTTCGCTACACTGACGCCTGTAAGCGAAAGCAGCCTAAACAGTTCGCAAATTTCATTATCGAATAAACGCAGAACGAGGCTAAGCAGGCCTAGACTGGTACCTGTTTGCCACCTTCACTCTGGCAAGTGTCCTTCGCTACACTGACGAAGTTAGTGTAGCGTGTGGAATTGTCGACCGAGTACCAGTCTAAAACAAGCCGCAAATCCGCCCCAGGCATATATTTATTATGGTGGTAATCTAGTTAATGGCTTTATCAGGAGTTATAAACTATTATAAATATAGTTATTGCAGTTGAAATGTAGATGGAAATGACGTCAAGCAAAGAACTGCGCGCTGATTGGCCGGTCTGGCTCAGGCAGCAGCCGCGCACTTTCATATAGTAAGAGATTAGGGTTTGTCTATATTCAGGCCGGTACAGGAGATAATGTGCCATATTTATCACGTAGTTGTGTTTATAACCAATCAATGTAATCGCGTGTTCGTGACGTCACTTCCAGCGTGAAGAAGAACAGAGGAGGAGAGAAGGTGGGTGCAGAAGGAAGAGAAGAGAAGCTGGTGGAGAAGGAGGAAGGGGAGAAGGGAGAAGGTGGTGGAGAAAGAGGAGGGGAGAAGCTGGTGGAGAAGGAGGAGGGGAGAAGGGAGAAGGTGGTGGGAGGGGAAGAAGCTAGTGGAGAAGGAGGGAGAAGCTGATGGAGAAGGAGGAAGGGAGAAGGGAGAAGTGGTGGAGAAGGAGGAGGTGGTGGAGAAGGTGGTGGTGAAGTGGTGGAGAAGGGAGAAGGTGTGGCCAGGGAGAAGGGCACCTCCCTGCCACCTTCTCCACCACCTCCTCCTTCTCCACCACCTCCTCCACCAGCTCTCCCTCCTCCTTCTTCCACCAGCTTCTCCCCCTCCTCCACCACCTTCTCCCTTCTCCCCTCCTCTTCTTCCCACCAGCTTTCTCCCTCCTTCTCACCGCGATTACATCTGATTGGTTATAACAACAAACCACGTGACAAAATATGCAAATTATCTCCTGTACCGGCCTGAATATAGACATCGCTAACCATAACACTAAACATATTTAGTGCATCACGTGATAAATCGTTGAAATTCTATTGATAACGTCGCAGGCACTATATGAAGGCAATAGTGCCCGCCTCAGCGGCACTATTACTTGCGCCGACGCATTGTTTATTATAACGCATTGTGTTTACGTCACGAATCTCCTGCGTCTGGGCGCCACGCAAGAGTTTCGAATTAATGACGATTGTGTTTGTGTCGAGCGTTTTGTTACATCGAATGCACCGGCAAATTAGGGAGTATAAAGAAGTATATAAGCATGAAAAGTAGATTGCATCACAGGCACTTGAAGCGTTTCAACTGTAAACACCCGCCGCCGCCATTGCGCGCACACTGACACATAAATATGTGTCACACTGACACATAAATATATGACTATATATTTATGTGTCCGTGTGCGCGCAATGGCGGCGGCGTGTGTTTACAGTTGAAACGCTTCAAGTGCCTGTGGATTGCATAGTCATGTGATGCACTAAAAACATTAATGCCTGTTGTTGGGGTACTATGCCGTCATAGTGTTGCTGAGGGAAGGTATAGTGCCCGAGCGGTAGCTCGGAGCGCTATATATAGGTGATGTGATCCACAATAATTAATCTATGGTGTGGGGACAGATATCATGATGCAAAAACCCTAACCCTAACCCTAACTCAAACCCTATTCCTAACCCTAACCCTAACCCTAACCTATTCCTAATCCTAACCCTAACCCTAACCCTGACCCTAACCCTAATCCTAACACTATCCTAACACTAGTGCTGCCACGTTGCGGTAACCTCCCTCCACGCCCGGGGGATAGCATTACCCGTCTCAACTGGTCATCAACTGCACATGTTAAATCGTATCCCTTAATCACAGGTGAACACTGTAATCGGCGGAAGCTTCGGATCGTTCACGAGCCTCGTCATTAATAAGATTGGATTTCTCGGTAATCGTCAGTGGAGCCTGTTGATCACACTGAACGGCGCTCTGACTGGCATGGTAGGCAGTGACATCAACTTCGCCTCTTCTCAGAGACTCACACTACTTATACTTATAGACACGCCTTCTATTTGACTCCCAAACATCCCATTGTATTGCCTTAGGCCGCAGCCCGTAGCCCGTAGCAATACGAAAATAGCATTCGTTGTATTGTTTATTTATAGTCGGCCGTATGGTTGACTGTTTTGACTGTAGGTATTATAGAGTATTAGAAATAGAACTTGATGTGTGTCGCAGAGATGATAGGTCAGAAAGCGCAGCAACGCAACACGATCAACAAGCACCACGCGCAGATAACGCGTTAGAAACGCACGTAACATCACGCTCACAACATCATCAACAACAACAACAACATCAATGACGCGTCATCGTCATCATCAGCAGCAGCAACAACAACAACAACAACAACAACAACAACAACGAGAACCACAAAAACAACAACAACAACAACAACAACAACAACAACAACAACAATAACAACAAAATCAGCATTCTTGCTTTACAGGTGAGCGTATGTGCCGGATGCAACGTTTACTACCCGTGGGCTGCGGCCGTTGTCGGGGCTATAGGTGGCGTGTCGTTCGTTTGCTGGAGTAACCTGATCAGTAAGGTATTCTTAGTCGACGACCCACTGGATGCTACGGCAGGTTAGTATATCGTTGACATAGACGCATCGAAGCCATGCTCTTGTATAGTATGCGGCACAGAATATATCAAGACCCCATAGTACTATTATTATTATTACTATTATTATTATCACTATTATTATCGCTATTATTATTATTATTATTATTATTGTTATTATATGTTATTATGGATTATTAATGGTTATATTAAATATATTTGATATGACCTCGTGTTCTTTAACGCGGCTTCTGCGCACGAATATCGAGTTCGATTCGTTTGTATATTTATTTTACTGACGTGGGATCATGGAGTTTATAAGGTGGGGCCGGGATAACATATTGCTTTTTCGATCATGAGCTGTATAATAATAATGATAGCTGTAGTTACTTCAGCGTTTTGCCACAGAAAATACTAAAAGCTGCTGTTTAATGACGTACCCGTATCGCATGGACGCAGGCTAAAGTGGCATGAACGCTGCGCATACTTATTAATCCAATGTCTTATCATCAGTACATACTTTAAGTAATTAAATAGATGCATTTTAGCTAGTAATCTTACGGTGATTGTCTCGCAGTTCACCTGGGTGGCGGAATGTGGGGATTATTAGCAGCTCCGATACTCTCTAGAGACACTGGCATCGTATTCCAATGGAGCACACATTCCTTCTACGTAAGTCACACTGCGCGATGGCGTCTTACTTAAGTCCGCACTAGCGCGTATTTAGCCCGGGATAGCGTGTACGCGCTGCAAAAATTTAGCGCGCGCTTGACCCGGACTAGTCTGATGAAGGATCAAATTTGCAGTCTGTATATGCGGGGTTTTAAACGACTAACGTCAGTTTTACGACAAACGTCAAAATTAACGACGGGGAACAACGACTAACGTCAGATGTTTGGTATATACGTAGCAACTGGCATGGAACATCGTAGGTCTGCTCGCTATCGCCGGCTGGACCGCCGTTTGGTCGATATTCATGTTTGGTGGCCTGAAATACATGGGAATTCTACGAGTTTCACGGGAGATCGAATCGAGAGGTAAATATATACCGCTGTCATGGCAACGCGGTAAACACGCGCCTCGCAAAATAGAACACCAGCACTTAATTAACTTAGTTACGTTGGACGACTGTTCCTTAACGTCGTAACCTCATAATATTTGGTCTTTAAAGTCCACGGGAAGACAGAGTGCGACGAAGTTGATTAAATCGATAGAACAACACTGCGAATTGCAGTAGAAAAAGCTTCAATTTTACAATTCACCAAAGAAGGAAGAGAATTCCAATACGGAATAAATGACCGAAACGAGAGAGCTATAAAATTCCTTCCCTGTACTACTTCCGCGTATGTGTGTGTGCGCGCGGTCATGCGTGCGTGCGTATGTGCGTATGTGCGCGCGCGTGTGCGTGCATAATTGCATCTGTGCGCACTTGTGTATTCGCATATATGTCCGTGTGCGCAAACGTGCGTGTGACCGCGGGTGCGTGAGCGGCATTTGCTCTCGTTCTATAGCTATTAATCCTGCTATTATTGCTACAGAGATATGACAATACAAATCGTCATCTATTTTACAGGATTGGATATTCCGACGCACGGCGAAGCAGCCTACCCTGTGGAGGCGTACGGACACGGCTGGGGAGAACGAGGAGATGCTCTCAAAGCTCTTGCTGCGAAGTGTTGCAAAAATATGAAAATTAATTCCTTCAGTCTAGGTACAAAAATGAAAAAGAAAATGTGTGCGGGCGTGCGGGCGTGCGTGCGGGCGTGCGCGCTTGCGTGAGTGAGTGCACGCGTCTGTCTATACGTGGGGATGTGTGGTTGTATGCGTATGTTTAAGGGGTAATTACTAGCTAGGTGCTATGACGCAGCAATGCCATTTATAGTCGTTGCTGATATTCCAAGCTTACAGCATCGCAATATCAGTTATGCACATATAGCGCGGACACTATGAGGAATGACAACTGTAATATCACACATTCCATCGTAGCCACATTACACTATCTATAAACCCTATAGAGATTTTCGGACCGAATTTCAGTCACTGGACCTGAGGCTTACATCGATGCACGATCCAACTGCGAAAACCCAGAGGTGCAGAAGAGAATGAATAGCTTGGATGATCTAGACGACATCTACGTTCCTGGCGGGTACTCAGCGGAGAACGGAGGTTCGGTTAATCTCGGCTACATATCGAATAGCAGCGACCCCTACCGACGCAACAACACGCGCATCATTGATGTCGATGTCGACGATGGCGATACTCGTTTATAAGAGGTGCCAGCAGCTTCGCGACAGATTCCACGTTGCGGACGAAAAAGGAAAAGACGACGTGCATCGGCTATTACCATCCTCACCAGCGGTTCTAAGACGGAGATGGTCTAAGTATTACGCAGGCCGTCCCCAATCTCAATCAATCATTTAATCGAACGTCTTGACATTGAATCACGTCATACAATATTATGCGTTTTATAATGTATATAAGAGAGAGGGAGGGAGAGATAGATCGATAGATAGAGAAATCTCGATACATTAGTAAGGTCACGCTACTCGTCCACCACCAAGTAATTAGGAATATATCAAGAGCTATAGGTATTATTAGCTCTTGAATATATGCATGTATATGTAGGTACATGTACACGACACACGATGTAAAACGATTGTATTTCTATTGCGCTGTTACGAAATTTGAGTTGAGCTTGCTCCTTGAAATAAACAAAACAAACGATGAAAAATAAATTATACGCCTACTGTATTTTATTTGTGACACTTTATTCCGCGTAAAGCATTTACGCAGACATACGCATAGCCGGCTATACACGTTCTACAATCGTGGTGGACAGAACAGTATACTCACTTATTATTTCGTAATTGAACATGAAATAAATGGACGGGGCACGGTCTAGCCTGGTCTTAGGAGTGATCTAACCAAACATATTCAGACAATAGACAAACCTACTACGCGTGTATACACAAGAAAGTACTTGAAAAGCCCCCATTTAAAAAAACAGCAAGCTTATTGTTGAGATGGATAAATTTTTGTTACTAATATGCTAAATATAAGGATTTTATAAAAGAAACGTGTTATATGAAAATTGATTTCTCGGAAAGGGTTCGGTGCGGCGGAGTGTAAATGTATTTTTACGAGAAGATAATTCTAGTGCAGAATACCAGTGTACTACTACATTAACTTGATTTAATTTATACGTATCGTTGTGTGTAAGTCTTGGTAGCATATTGAGGCAATGCAGCCAGAAACTGTGGCTATGCTAGGCATAAGCTATAGCTGTGGCATTAAAAAGGAAATACATTGAACGATGAAATAGTCCAAAGGGCATTTCTCTTAGGTTACAGTCCACAGCTTGTGCACAAGCTAGCTTTCGTTTCACTTAAATCTGCATTCCAAACCAGGCACGGGTAGCATTCCTTTGCATTCGACGTCCTTGATCAAATGAGTCATTTCATGGCCTGTCAATGAGACATTGCTGAGTGATAACACATAACAAAATGTTTAATCAACGAATTGGTTACGAATACAACTGATTTTGCTAGTGTTAAAAGCATTATGGTCATCTCCGCAAATACGACAAAATAGCCACGACGCCTCTCTTGGTTATTGTTGCTAGGTTGGCCACGCTAGCCAGATATACGCACGCATTTCACGGTGCACGCCGAATTGTCGACTGTTTCTGCGTTACATACTAATTTTCGTGAAATCACTGGGATCGTATACTTGGTGCAACTTACATATTGGATCCATCATCATCTCCTCCGCCAGCTCCATTCTAACAGAAGGGCTCGGATAGTAGATTATTGACATGACTGAAAGTAGGGCAATATAGGATATCGGCAAAATCAATTCGGCCAAATCTAGTTTAGTAAATTCTTAATATATCATTGCTAACAGTATAGTACTATATATATACTATAATATGTATAGAACATATATATTGCTATATATATTATTATATAATATTATAGTATATATATTAGATGCGTGTGTGTGTGCTGCGTCTGTGTGTGTACGTGCGCTGCGTGTCGTGGGTCTTGGTACGCACGCGTGCGTGCGTGCTGCCGTGCTAACACAACGCGACATCTAGAGTATCGTAACATTGTCATTTGGGAGTAATTAGATAACCATGGTGATCATTGAGAATTTCATTTGCCAGGTAGATAAATTTATGCCGCGCGCTTACGGGCATCGCCGAGGGTCCATATTAGGCAAGAGGTAGCGGCCTATGACTGCCTCCCGCTCGCTGTTTTGGCCAGAACGCGTTTCTAACTTCGCTGAATTTTCTTAAATGTGGCGTACCAAGGTCTGAGGTCTGGGATCATGCATGGTGATCGTAGAGCAATCTCGTAGTAAGGCTGAAAATGAGCTCACATCACGGATAGCTGGTAAGATAACCTCAGTATCGACACCTGTAATTGCATGATGACGCATGTTCTGTAAATCTCGCCGTAACATTCGGCTAAACGAATAAACATGCGAAGTCACTCAAGGAGTCAACCAAAAATATAGTTTTCTACGTTGCTAAAATGCAATGTAAATTAGATCCGGCTTTCTTAAGCGTTTAAAAAATGCCAACCGACAGCTTCCCATATGGCTAGTAGGGGTTATTCCGGAGGCAGCTGAGAAATAGCCCGATTGCCAATGTAGCCAATATTTTGATAGTTTCTAGCTCAAGGAAGCAAGACAGGAATGAATTGGGTTTCCCGAACACAATAGGTTATGCTTCTTGGTTTTACGTTTATATACTTGCAGGTCATCCGGCGTATCTTATTGCCAAATGGCATTCACGAAATATAGATTCATGAATGTACCAGCGTGATTACAATATTTAATTACATTCAATAAATATAATATGCGTATTATGAATTGTGCGTGAGTGGTGTGTGTGTATGTGTGTATTTGTGTGTGTGTGTGGTGGTGTCGGCCTGTGTGTGTGTGTGTGTGGTGTGTGTGTCGGTGTGTGTGATGTGTGTGTGTGTGTGTGCTTGTGTGTGGTGTGCTTTTGTGTGTGGTGGTATGTGTGTGTGCTTGTGGACGGTGTGTGTGTGGTGCTGTGTGTGGTGTGTGTGTGTGTGTGTGTGTATGTTTGTATGTGGTGTGGTTGCGGTGTGTGTGTGTGTGTGTGTGTGTGGTGGTGTGTGTGTGTCGTGTGTGTGTGTAGTGTGTGTGTGTGTACGCTGCTTATGTATATACCATACATCTATTAAATATGTTTCATAGTAGGCGTTCAAAAAGTATACAAGTGCGTTGTTTCGGGCTGCGCGCATGTCTATAATATACATAATCAAGAGTACTCATATAGATTAGCATGAGAGGATTCTCTTGCTAAATAGTCAACCTGGACTTTAGTTGGCATATCGCTGGTCTATGTCGATCACACTTTTGATAGGTGGCAGCAGAACCGCACCGCATACGCACGCCATCTTCGGCCACACATCAATAATCCATCATCGAGTACATTGTACCTCCTCCTTATCTGTCACCTCGAATGCAGAACTTGTCAATCACCTTCCCGCGTGCCTCGTGCGACCCCTGGTCGCCCGAAAAGTAGAAGACGAGCGTGAAGGCCGAACGTCCGGCAGTGTCGCGCGACCGCAGTTGAGTGTATACTGAAACAGGAGCACGCGTATATCATAGGTGTATACATATGAGCGTACGTGCTCTCGGAAGCGAACTTAATGATACAAAGGTCCAACGCGACAGGCGCCAGCAGTGTGAAATATTGGTCAGGCCGAGCATCAAGCCAGACAGAACAGTACGGAGAACGCCAGATGGCAGTAAACTGCCCGGACGAAAGCGTGTTGGCTGTTTGCAAAGGCACCAGCATATACGTGTGTCGTAATATTTGGACGGATCAGGAGTCCGAGCAGAACAGACGAACAAGAAAGAGCTCGTCGCGACATAATTTTGGCGAATATTTCACACACGAGTATCCTCTACTGTTACGGGCCCAAACGACAAGTGCAAGGCAGGTAAGATCAAGGTAGAAGAGGTAATTTTTAACGAAAACACCGCGGGGTTCTAACGCGTGAACGTCAGACGCGTCTGGAAATCTAGCGAAGCGAGACTCAGACACTATTCACCAGAGTAAAGGGAGGAGGAATCGAACAAGGTGCTGCGGAAGAAACAAGTTGCCACAGCAAATTAGAGGACGGAGCAGATTCCTCGTGCGTGCTGTGTGTGGGGAGCTTGTGCGCGGTCGCGCATGGTGTGCTCAATTGCCAGCATTGACTTACCGCCATTTATATAAGTCCCATATTTTGCATCAAGGAACTGTCACCCCTGGGTCACTACCTCCTGCCGCCAATGATCGGCAGTTCGGGTGTTATTTCGAGAACCAGGACTTTGCCGATGTCGGGATAGTCCGGAGGCAATATTCGACTGCGCGACATCGTCCGTATTCGACTCGTAAACCTTCCGTTGGATAACGCCTTGGACGCGCCCATTATTTGGTCGTGCAGCGAATCTCTTCAACCTGCATCACGTTCAAAATGCTACACGAACTCTGCCCCCGTATCCTGGCGGCAAATGCCACAACTCGCTGCTAAATTAGACCAGATTATTTATCGATTAACTCATACTATAGATATTAGGTAAGGTAGAGTAACAAAACAATTCGTTAGCATTCACCTTCTGGTGTAATGTATATATTCATGCACACACACACGCGCGCACACACACAGCACGACACGACATCATCACACACACCCAGACACGACACACAACACACACACACCCCACCAATCCGCACTCCCCATGTTCGGCGACTGCCGTCAAACCTAGTAGAAAACACAACGAGATTTCTGGTTTACTATATAATAATATTAAGCGAACCAGGCATCCGTGTAACAACTACTGTCCTGTTTATTTCATCGACGATATTAATCCACTAAAATGCCATATCTTTATTATAGACGCATCATCATACTTGTGATTAACCCATTTACAGGCAAGGAACATTTAAACGACATAATTAATAACCTTAAATAGTCGGCCATATCTCTGATATTAAACTACCTTATAACTTAAGCAGTATAGCTAGTCTTTTATACCTTATTTTAGACCCGTGGGCTCATGTACGGCAAGACAAAAAATAACTGTTATACAAATACTGAACTGGTAATGTATTACTTCTTTGAACATGTGAGTGCCGTTGTACTCCTCTACGCCTTGACCTCTATTACACGCCTATATCCGCTGGGTAATCTGCTGCCACGACAACTGTGCGCTATACGCTTGCGTGCTACTGTGCCGTCCGTGTAATTGCTTGACTGAATTTCACGACTGGAACCATACGATAATAAAAAATGAGCAGTAGAGCTGATGCGTTGGTACAACTGCCCGTTTCACTAATTGACATACTTACAAAACTCAGTCAAATCAACACAGGGTACGACTAGAGGTTTGCTAAATGCACATACAATTAACAACGACCAGAGGGCTGAGTACCACGAGCGCCCGTTGTCTGTCTCCGGTGCGAGCCTCTCTTAGTACCTCCCCCTTCACGACAAACTGAGCCGTGAAACCACCTTACCTAAATATGTTTCCCTACGAGTGATCATGGCTGACTACAGAAATAGTAGAGAGGTGGAATTATTGCTCTGTGTCAGTTTGGAGGTGGGAATAAAGCTAGATGGCCATCTGTCATGTAACTACATTGGGTACCCCCTTACTACAAGATTGGATCGCCGTAGCACCACAGGCGCGAACACGGTCTGGGCTGCCGTCGATTCAGGACTTACATGTGGTTGGGCAGAACGAAACAGGATTCGAAACACAACAAAAAGGCAACTAACCAACTCCGGTGATACGAGCACAAAGGTTCCAGAAGAAAACTGAGTAAGGGACAACGCAAGAGGAGTTCAAGAAGGATGGAAGAATAAGAAGAACGAAGGAGAAGAACAGCAGCAGAAGATGCCCCAGAAGGAGAAGATAGAGAAAGCCGATTCGTGACATTCGTTAGATGACAGAGTTTCGCAACATTACGCGCAAGAATGTATGGAAATCGCATGGACAGTGAATATGCAGCCTGCACAATACGCGCAGATATCGGAGCCAGAACATTTACAATTGTACGGACCCTGGCTTATGGAAGAAGCAGTACGAACACAGACAACGGCCGATTCACATATTGAGGACGAGCAAAGATTTGCTACCCATATGCTATCACGGCGCTGCACGGAACCGGACGGCGATCCGATCCGACGGCCGTCGCAAGCAAGCATTACATAACGCGCGAGGCCGGCGTCAGGCTACACACGCAGGAAGGAGCAGAAATCAGCTAGATGCGCGGAACAGACGATCAATATAGCCAGATATCCGCAAGAAAAAGCCGAACAACGATCGAAAAGGAGATGGTTCGATGGCGGGTGAGTGAAAACAAGATTCTAGTGTCGGCATAAATACCGATTGCGTATTAAACTAGCTGTTGAAAGGTAACCGAGCGTATTACTATAGCGAAAGATATTAAAGGCACTTTTCTCGGCACCTATCAACTGCTACCGAGGTACAAGAGGCCACTATCACCTCTCACCCAACCCTCAACATCCTATTATCGTATTCAGTTAGCCATGCCTGATTTACCGAGTGCGAAACGAATGGCGAATGTGAAGACGTGAAGGGTGGTAGCTTAAACCCTTTACTGGACAGCGTGTAACAGGGTCTTGAAATTCGGTTAGACGAGTCTTTCTGAAATGCGTAGAATGCCCGAATTCCCGGGAGACACGCCATAATAAGCTCGTAATTAAAGGGAATAAGCGAGGCTGCTAGCGTAGACGCAACCATGTTAAGCAAGGGGCCTGATAGTACGCCACCCGGAGCTCGGCTGAGGGTAGCCACGCTAGAATCGGTGGGACAGAGAAGCGAGAGTAGTGCGGTAGGGGCAGACAGGTAGATTTACGTCCCCGTTAGCAAGAACTACGAGATTCACCATTGAGGGGGGTAATCGTGCTCGTTGAGGAGTGGTNACAACATTCGCCAAATTATAGTAACTCTCTCTGTCTTTCGCTTTCCCACTCTCTCCCTCTCTCTCCATCTCTTGCTCTCTCTTTCGATCTTTTTCTCTCTTTCTGTCTATAACTGAGTGGAGTCGAGATTAATTGTATCGGGAGAGATAGATCGATAGATAGAAAAATCTCGATACATTAGTAAGGTCACGCTACTCGTCCACCATTACATCGTGTGTCGTGTACATGTACCTACATATACATGAATATATTCAAAAGCTAATAATACCTATAGCTCTTGATATATTCCTAATTACTTGTAACGATTGTATTTCTTTTGCGCTGTTACGAAATTCGAGTTGAGCTTGCTCCTTGAAATAAACAAAACAAACGATGAAAAATAAATTATACGCCTACTGTATTTTATTTGTGACACTTTATTTCGCGTAAAGCATTTACGCAGACATACCCATAGGTCAGAATTTGCGGCTATACATGTTATACAATCGTGGTGGACAGAACAGTATACTCACTTATTGTTTCGTAATTGAACATGAAATAAATGGACGGGGCACGGTCTAGCCTGGTCTTAGGAGTGATCTAACCAAACATATTCAGACAATAGACAAACCTACTACGCGTGTATACACAAGAAAGTACTTGAGAAACCCCCATATAGAAAAACAGCAAGATTATTGCTGATATGGATAAATTCCAGTTACTAATATGCTAAATATAAGGATTATATAAAAGAAACGTGTTATATGAAAATTGATTTATCGGAAAGGGTTCGGTGCGGCGGAGTGTAAATGTATTTTTACGAGAAGATAATTCTAGTGCAGAATACCAGTGTACTACTACATTAACTTGATTTAATTTATACATATCGTTGTGTGTAAGTCTTGGTAGCATATTGAGGCAATGCAGCCAGAAACTGTGGCTATGCTAGGCATAAGCTATAGCTGTGGCATTAAAAAGGAAATACATGCAGAAAAGAGCATTTCTCTTAGGTTACAGTCCACAGCTTTCGTTTCACTTAAATCTGCATTCCAAACCAGGCACGGGTAGCATTCCTTTGCATTCGATGTTCTTGATCAAATGAGTCATTTCATGACCTGTCAATGAGACATTGCTGAGTGATAACACATAACAAAATGTTTAATCAACGGATTGGTTACGAATACAACTGATTTTGCTAGTGTTAAAAGCATTATGGTCATCTCCGCAAATACGACAAAATAGCCACGACGCCTCTCTTGGTTATTGTTGCTAAGTTGGCCACGCTAGCCAGATATACGCACGCATTTCACGCTGCACGCCGAATTGTCGACTGTTTCTGCGTTACATACTAATTTTCGTGAAATCACTGGGATCGTGTACTTGGTACAACTTACATATTGGATCCATCATCATCTCCTCCGCCAGCTCCATTCTAACAGAAGGGCTCGGATAGTAGATTATTGTCATGACTGAAAGTAGCATAGGGATGATAGGCACAAATCAATTCCAAATCTAGTTTAGTAAATTCTTAATATACATTACTACATATATATATATATGCGTGTGTGTGCGTGTGTGTGTATGTGCGTGCGTGTGCGTGTGTGCTTGTGTGTGCGTGCGTGCGTGCGTGCGTGCGTGTTCACAACGCGGACATCTAATTTCGTAAAATTGCCATTGGGAGGTAATAGATACATGGTGATCCATTGAGATTTCATTTTGCAAGGTAGATAAATTCATGCGGGCTTACGGTGCATCGCCGAGGGTCCATATTGGCAAAGGTAGTCGCCTATGACGCCTCCGTCGTGTTTGGCCAGAACGCGTTTTCTAACTTCGCTGAGTTTCTTAAATGTGGGGTACCACGTCTGAGGTCTGGGATCATGCATGTGATTGTAGAGCAATTCGTAGTAGGCTGAAATGTAAAGCACATGCACGGGATACTGGTAAGATAACCGACTACAACACCGTAATGCATTGATGACGACATTTCGTAAATCTCCTGTAACATCGGCTAACGAATTAACATTGCGAACTCAACTCAAGTGAGTAACCAAAAATATAGTTTCTACGTGTGCTAAATGCTATGGTAAATAGATCCGCTTTTACTAAGCGTTTAAAAAATGCCAACGACACTTCACATCAAATATGGCTAGGTAGGTTATTCGAGAGGCAGCTGATGAAATAGCCCGATTGCCAATGTAGCCATCATTTTGATGAGTTTCTAGCTCAAGGAAGCAAGACAGGAATGAATTGGGTTTTCCGAACACAATAGGTTATGCTTCTTGGTTTTACGTTTATATCTTTGCAGG